ATGTCTGAGACATTAACAAAAGGTAACCATAACTGGGTGTTAGGCATCGTTGTTGGTATGCACACACTGAAATGCTTAGCTAAATTACCTCTCGAGAGAATACATGCCTTAAGAAATAGAAATCTACTTTTAATTATGGGTTCATTCTGTGCTATCAAAAGTAGAAATTATTAATAAACCAGTGATCAGTCCAAATTGATAGAGAGAATGTGCCAATAGCTCCTCTTTGTAGTTAACGGGTGCAGAGGAGCATCGCTCGCAGTGCAATAAACACCCGGGCTCGCCTGTCACGAGGGAGGCCCGGAAGACAGACAAAGGCTGTGTCACCTGACCATGCGGTTAATGAATTACAGCGAGAGGCAAATGCCTCATCCCACTCCTCCTCATGCATCTTAATAAAGGCTGCTGTCCAGGTGCCACCTTGAGTTTAAGCGCCTTCCATAGATGCCAGGTAGCATCTCAATTTATGCTGGAAGTCCTCCAGGACATAAAGCCTGCCACCGTCTACAATGCACACACAGAGCACAGAGCAGGGACCTGGTAAATAGTCTCTTCAAAAAAACGAAAAGTTTTTAGGATGATTTGTCATTTCTCCAAAGAATAACAGGAAGCTGGCAAAAACTACTCTGCCTTTCTTCTTAACCAGGCAAATTCGTGAGAGCTGAGTGCAACTCATGTAGAAAATCTACAGACCTTTTATGTAGGCGGGAATTACACAGATGGGCACTCCGCAGATGTTACTTACCCACTTTAGATACAGTTCAAAGGAATGCCATCAGTGATAGAATGAGCAGTTCCTATTTACGTCTTATAAAGAGTGAAAAATTACTTAACATTTAACAATATTACTGCATTACCTCGTCTGATTCAAAATCGACACCTTTCGATATCTGGCTCTGGGATGTATGTTTGGGTGGTACGCTTGACATCCTGAAACGAAGACATGGAAAACAAAATGAAACACAGAATTCATCCAGAGGGTCTCGGTTTTCTCATCTGTAAAATGGGAATAATCGCAGTACTGACCTCAGTAGTTTTCATCGTGATAAATATGCCAGTACAATTCCTGGCATATTGATTACGCTATCCCCCACTTCTGAAAATCGCAGCAACATTAAAATATTTTTTTAATCTGTCACGTTTCTGTAACAGGATCAAAGGGCATTAGGAAAGGCTAAGCAGCCTTATTGCTTGTATGGTTTGTGTTCAATCCAATCCAAACAGAAAATGTTTACTGAGCCTTTCCGTTTTGCCAGGCACTATGATAACCCCAGGCAGTATCAGTGAACCAGGAAATCAGGCCTCTCACACTAAGAGCTGCTCCTCTGTCCATTTGTTGAAGTGCAGTGGCCTGTGTGTTGCAGGGATGCTAGAAGCTGTAGCACTGGTATGGCACACCCCATCCAGGGCACCCGGGTACACACGTTTGGGCAGGACTTCCACATTAAGAGCAGATTAGGGAAAGGCCCAGGCTATCCGCTTCTGAGAGATCAGCACAGAAAGCTTTCAGAATGGCAGCAGGGCCAGAAGAGCAGCTTTTCCCGTCGAAAGGCACTCAAAGCACTACTGGAGAAGAGCGGTCTCCTCGGAGTACAGACGACCTTCATGTGAATGAAGCAAAGCTTTCGGGATGTTCATTTGCTGATAGGTGGTGACTCAAAATAAGGACTGCAAACATCCATTAATAATCAGGACATAGCATGCATGAGGTATGAATCTAAGAAAACTGGAAGTCATCGAAAATGAAATGGAACACAAAGACTGAAGCCCAGACACTAGCGATCTGAAATGGACTGGTATCGGGGATTTTGAATTGGACAATAACATGGTTGGTTTACTATGCTGGAAATCCAAGCTATGGTATTTTCAATCACCTCATATGTATGCGAGAGTTGGACACTGAATAAAGAAGACCAAATAAACATTGATGCATTTAAACTGTGGAGAAGAATATTGGTGAAGAATATTGAAAGTACCATGAGCGGTCAAAAGAACCAACTAATCTGTCTTGGAAGAACTACAGCCGGAACGCGCCTGAGAAGCGTGACTGGCGAGACTTCGTCTCACATACTTGGGCATGTCGTCAGGACAGACCAGGCTCTGGAGAAGGGCATCATGCCTGGTAAAGACAGAGGGCAACGAAAGAGAAGAGGGCCTCAACAAGGACCGTGGTACCGTGGCTGCAGGCATGGGCTCAACTGTAAGAACTGTGAGGGTGGTGTGAGACCGGGCGGTGCCTTGGTCCGTTATAAACAGGGTGGCTGAGCCAGGACTGATTCGACAGCACCTAACATCATCATCATCATCCTGGGAATTACACATCGAAGACAAACAGCAGTGCTTCACAATCAGAAGGAACATTTCAGGATCTGTACATAAAATGCTATCTACGTAGGGCAATACCCATATGCCTATTAAAAAGACCAGCTCTTCACATTTCTATGCCAATCACTAAAGTCAATGACGAAGAAACTGAAGAATTCTAATTCTACCAACATCTTTAGGCTGCAATTGGTCAAACATGCAATCAAAACACTCTGATAACTACTGATGTTTGGAAACAAAGGGGAAGGATCAGTAGTTGAAAACTATGGCTGGAGGTTGCATGATAGACGTTTGCAAGCCAACAACTTCTCCGCAAATGGTTTTGCTCAGTAACAAATGGCAACTATATAGGAGGACCTCGTTAGTGGGAATACACAAGAATCAAATTGACTACATCTGTGGGAAGAGTAGATGGGGAAGCTCAATATCACAAGGGGACCACATAAACCAGACCACAGGGGCCAACTGTGGAACAGCCTAGCAACTGCTCATATGCAAGTTCAGGTTGAAGCTGAAGAAAATGAAAAGAAGCCCATGGGAGCCGAAACACAACCTTGAGTCTATCCCATCTGAAGAAAACACCTAAAGAACAAATTTGAAGCTCTGTACACGAGTGACAGAAAACATGGTGACATCAAAAACACTGTACTTGAAGAAAGCAAAAGGTCATGAGAGAAACCGAAAGGAATGCCAGAAGAGATTTTGAAGCCTGCTCTTGAAGGTAGGGTTGCTAAAACAAAAGGAGGAAACGATTCAAGGAACTAAATAGAAAAGGTCGAAGGCAGCTTGAGAGGACAAAGTGCTTAGTGCACTGTGCAGACTGGCTTTAGAAAACCCAGAGGAGAGCATGCTTCTCGGCACACCTCACACGGAAAGAACCCAAAAAAACCAGGAAGCCCGAGTTGCAATGTTGAAGGGTTCTACGGGCAGAAGAGTTATTGAGCAATAACAGTAAGCATATGCAAGTAAAATTTTGCTGAGGATAATTTAAAATGGTTTCAGCAGTATATCAACAGGAAGCTGCCAGAAACTCAAGTCAAATTCTGAAGAGAATATGGAATGAGGGAGATCATCACTGTGATCTGATGGATCTTGGCTAAAAGCAGAAGATACCAGAGAAATATTTACTTGTGTTGTATGAGCTATGCAAAGGCTTTTGGGTCTGTGGATCATAAGAAACTATGGATTACATTCAGAATGGGAATTCCAGAACACTTTGCTGGGCTCATGCAGAACCTGTACGTAAACCAAGAGGCAGTCCCTGGAACAGAGCAAGGGGGCACTGCATGGTTTAAAATCAGGAAAGGTGTGCATCAGAGTTGTGTCCTGTCACCATGAGTGTGACCTGAGAAGGTGAACTAAGAAGACGGTGGCACCAGGACCAGAAGATGGCGCACTAACAACCTGCAACAGGAACGTGGCACGTTCTTGCTTGCTTCAAGGGGCACTTGAAGTCCTTATTGAGGAAGATCAAAGAAAACAGCCTCCAGGTGAGATTATAATTCAATGTAAAGAAAACCCAATCCTCACAACTGGACCACTGACAATGTGCAGAATGGAGAACAGAATTTGTCGATGATTTCACTTTAGTTGGATCTCTAATCAATGCTCACTGAAGGAGTAGTCAAGACCTCACACACCACCTGGCAATGGGCAAGTCTACCACACAGGCTTCTTCACAGCGTGAAAGAGCGTTAACGTTAGTCTCTTTGAAGATAAGGTGTGCCTCACCCAAGCTGTGGCATTGAAAGCTGGGCACTGAAGAAGGAAAGCCCCATTACGGCGTCGACAAAGAATACGGAAATTTCCGTGGATTGCCAGAGGAGCAAACCAGTCTGTTTGGGGGAAGCACAGCAACAATGTTCTTCATAAGCAGGAATGGGCAGGGTGAGATTTCATCTACAGAGGCCAATCCCTGGAAAAGGACATTATGCTTGGTAAATCAGAGGCCAGAGAAAAAGATTATCTTTAACTAGACCGACTGACACAGTGGCTGCAACAATGACCTCAAACTAACAACTGAGGACGGCACAGAAGACATCGGGTCTCATTCTGGCGTACCTGAGGTCACCCTGAGTCAGAAGGACTGATGGCACCTCCCACCAGCACCGCCCCGAGGAACTGCCCTGGGGAATGGACCGCTCAGGCTATACATGCTTTTATTAGGGAGAGTTTTACATCAGTCATCTTGGGCCAGGAGACAGCGAGCTAGGTTCCCTGGGCCAAATGAAGGTAGCTTTAATACAACCTGTGTTCCAAGAATGGTTTTCACATTTTAAAATGGTTATATTTGAATAGTTATATAAGTACTCCATGATAACCTCAATTTTGCCTCTTGACTCACAAAGGCCAAAAAGGTTATTATGCATCCCTTGAAGAAACAGTTTGCCAACTCCTGACTTCAAAGAAAACGCAATAGAGCTGCCAATTATTTTCACCCACTTAGGAGTGTCCAAAGGTCTTGTCAGGAAAGTGTCAAGGCATCTTGTGTCAGAAGAGGACTGAATAATCCACAGGTCCTTATTTACTGAAGTTAAAAACAAGGGGATTCAGCAAGTAAGCTGGAAAAGAAACCACTTCAAGGGTAGGGATCCTGTGAATTTAACCAGGGAGTTCCATCTCTTGGGAGGTGGTTGACTTGTTTTTATCTGTGACAGAATGAAGCACACCACCAAGAGCATAAAGCCACAGTGCCAGGGGTGGCTAGTGAGGGGGGTGCTGGGCTGTTGCAAGGGGGGAGGGAGTAGTGCCAGTTGTAGAGACAAACACCCATCAAGACCTGACCCCCTCTGATGGCCTGTCAGAAAAAATAACAGATGGGGTCCAGAAACACGCCAGGGAACTATGCTGGGTTCCAACTTGTTTAATCATAGGCAGAGCCACACAGACGCTCATCTGCAGGAGGTCAATGGTGGGGAGAAGAAAGAGGGCCACGCTCCGGGGTCCCATGAATGAGCTTCTGTCTAAGTGGAGGGCTAAAACTAAAGAGGGGCGGGAAAAGGAGCAGATTGCGTGCCGTGCTGGGAGGCTGAAATTTTCTCCAGCTGTGTTCAGGTATCATTTGGGGCCATCACGGAGAATTCCTGACTACACACACTTAGCCAGTCCGTCACAACACTTATTGCATGTGTAAGATAGGCTGAATTGGCTTTATACTGTACCAGGCACATAAAAGGTGCTCCAAACAGGTCAGACCCCCCTCCCCCACGATTCTCACTGGAGCTCTCTCAACCCCTCCCACACTCTGAAGCCAAGCGGCCCCGCCCTTGCTGCTGTTGAAAGGATGGTGGAGTAGGCGGCTCCCTCCCACCTAAGGGCTCCTCCTACTCCCAATGCAACAGGGGTGGAGTGTGAGAGCCAGCCTGAGACAAAAACAGGCTTCCTGGCATCTACCTGACAGAAGAGGGTCTTGCAGCTGGAAGCCCCTTCCTTTTTTAAGCTAGCTGCCAGGAAAAGGAGAGCTTTTATCTTTTGCTCATGGTTCTTCCCATTGCTCTGCTCTAATTCTACTACCTTAGCTTGTTACTTATTTAAATAAGCAGTTGTGTAACTATCATTATTCATGCCGCACTGACTTAGCAATTTGCAAATATTAACTCATTGAAAG